TCAATGTACTTCTTTTTCCCCCTCCCTCCCTCCTACCTTCCCTCCTTCCTACCATTCCTCATTCCTTCATTCTTTTTTTTTCTTCTTTCCATCCTCCCTTCCCTCTCTTCCTTTCTCTCCCTCCTGACTTTTTTCCTTCCCTTACTTATTCTTTTGATACTCAAACTGTATTTTCGATGCTCCAGTTATTTATTCTGCACTCAGATTGTCCAGATTTGAGCTGGAGAAGGCCACTTCAGGCGGGCTCTTACGTCATTCTCACGTGACCCCCATCATTCTTGGAACACTTTTTCTACTTTCTGGTTCCTCCAGAAAGTGGCCCAGGCTCATATCGGACTCTTCCTGACCCAGCTCTGGTATCAGCCTTTCTCCAAGGAGTCGTGGTTTTCTTCAGGAGAGAGACTGAGAGCTGAAACTACAGGGGTACTCAGTGCTTCTGGGTGACCCTCCCCCTAGGCTGTCTGCACTGCGTGGTGGAAACTGTTTACTGAGCACTCACACATTCCAGCTGGGCGTGTTTCTTCATCTACCTACATGTACCAAAACCCACCAGCGCACACCGGCTGATTAAAGTCCAACCCCAAACCCAGGGCATCCATTCAAGATTTGCCACTTCCGAGCATAGCCTCCTTTCCTGACGGGTCCTCAGTGTGTTTGTACCTGTGCTCAGCCTCTGTGGCTGTCCTCACTGGGGAGGTTTCAGCACCCTGGGGCCCATTCCTGCCGGCTGCCCTACTCCGCTTCTCCGGACCCCAGTTCCCACCAGGGCGAGTCATTCAGGAAGCAGGGGGACACAGTAGAAATTGGTAGACACCTTCCGTAATCACCCAAGATGATAGCAAAAGGAAGACAATACGCAGATTTTATCGTCCTTAGAGCATTCCACCAGCCTGGCAACGACCTCCCAAAGGTCCCAACCTTACACTCACTATAAACAGAGATAAGTCAGGTACTCACATGGTTTTAGAAACGTCAGGTTTTCAACCCTGCTGCCTGTGGTTTGTTCTCTCTGTCTCATTGGGTTAACATGATAACTCACAACAATTTACATGGGCATTTCAACGTCAAGAGAAATATCAGCCTGCTTTCCACTGGTGTAGCTCTGAATTAAAATTTTAAAACCTTGAAATTGCATGTATTTCTTTTGTCAGCAAGAATAATAAAATACTGAGTGGACTTCAAATCAGGTGTGAAGTTTTTATATCCTAAGTCTTGAAACAGAAAATCTCAAAGATGCCAGTCAGGCAACATCATTATAATGACCCTATAAAGAGGGAAACAGCCTTCCCTGTTCACTGCTAGTGAAGCCGATTGAGGCAGACAAGATTACAACTCACCGTGGGCGTCCCAACACGTCGTCACATCCTGCAGCCGCTAACAACGGCCTGTGTATGAACATTACATTTTTATTCCAAATGTATAGGTATAATATATTCAAAGCTCTAAGCCAAAAAGCAAACAAAAGTTTACCTTTTTATTCTATTTACTCTTTCTACTAAGTTGGCAAATTTTTATTAAATTTGCCTTCCTATCAATTTTATATCTTTTCATTTCTGACTCTCAAAATCTCACCTGAAGCCCTTACTGGTGTGGCTGAGCGGGTTAGACAGCATCCGACAAACCAAAAGGTTGCTGGTTCAATTCCTGGGCAGGGCACATGCCTGGGTTGTAGGTCAGGTCCGAGGTTAAGGACATGCAGGAGGCAACTGATCAATGTTCCTGTCTCTCACATCGACATTTCTTTCCCTCTCCTTCTCCCTCCCTTCCCCTCTCTCTAAAAATAAATCAATAAAGTCTTTGTAAAGAAAAAAAAACTCAGCTGCAAATTTATGTCTGCAAACACTCCCGGTACTAATCTATTAAGTACGTTAATTTCTGAGCTTGAGAATAGTCACTGAAAGTATCATGGGTACTAATACACTACTATTATTAGTGACATTATATTTATACTTACAGGGAACAAATACAGAAAATAATGTTTTTCTGCTCTGTCAGCGTTATTTGGGTTCACTCCATTAAACAGATTTTCTTTTTTTCTTGTCTAACACTGGGTTTCTGCTCACATGCTAAGGGCAAATACCCCAAAGATCAGGAATCCCTACCAGATAGGAGGGACTGTAAGAGACACCAGCATGCAGTCTCACAAGTCTTCGTCTGACTAAGCGTTTCTTTGAGGCAGCACCGAGTACATTTCGGAGGTATTGATGTGGATTTGACAGTCACGCCTCATGGTCTCCTTCAGAACTGGCCATCCACCTTTGCCTGGAAGTGCTTTCCAAATCTTTGCATTATTTGCCATCTGAAGAGACTGCAATTGGGAAAACATTTATCTTCAAATCCAGCAAGTCCTGGCTTCTTTATATTTAACAGTTTTTCTTTCGCTTTTCTCTCTTCTTTTTTTCCCCCCTCCTTTTACTATAAACAGAAAGACGTCAGAATTCTCTGTCTGGAAGTGCCGTTAGCTAGATTACAGATTTCTCAAGTGCAGCTTCTCCCTTCCTGTAGTATCGCATGCAGTGTTCCTACATTTCCACAGTAGACTGTGTGCGCGGTTTGGTCTTCTCTCATTGCCAGTGACAGTGCTTCCTCACCTTCCTTTGAGCCGTTACGGACAACCTCCTCCACAACCACCAGGCTCCCACTAACATCCCTTCAATGCCCCTCTAACGTACTAGGGCATCCCAGCCCCGAAGTCACTGCCACATTTTTAGATTTATGTTACAATCCTCTCTCAGCACCAAATTCATCACTAGTTATTCATTACTACAGGACGAATCACTGCAAAACCTAATGGCTTAAAACCATGATTTATCTTCTCCTACGGGCCTCTCCCAAAGCCTGCTCGGGCCCGGTGGCTGGCTTTTCGGGGTTAGCAATCTCAGAGACCAAGTTGGCAACTCGCCTTGGACGTCACGCACGGCTCCCACTTCCTCTGTTTCCCGCTGACCACAGAGGTCGGCCCTAGTTCAACGTGGAGAGACACTATGAAAGAGAGGGAATTAATGGAGTCCCTCTTGGAAATGTTAAAGATCATGCAAGGAGAGAGGGAAAAAACCTAATTTTTTAATAGCTGTGTAGTAGTTTGTCCTGTAATTATCTTCTAGAATGTATCCCATGTGGAAATATGGAAGGGTTTGACAGTTCAAACTCCAGAATTGATTAGGGCCAAATAGAACATTGTTATGGGTGACTAAGGAAGTCTTGTTTTATGAACCTAATTATCTCCAATCCAATCAGCAGTGATCTGTGTGTTTTGCAGCTGCTTTGCTTCCAAAAAGGCCTTTTTTTTTCTCACAAATAGATCTACTCCATTTGGAATATTTCAAAGCTAGTGTAGATATTTAGAGAGTCCCAAATAGTCAAAAACCAGAACCAAATTGTTGTCAAGAATAGTCATTAGAGTTACAGCTGCATGTTTTCTCTCTGCTAAGTTTAGACATTAACTCCTTTCAATATTATCTTGATTAAGCAGATTTAAAATCATATGTATGCTTACCACTAGTCTAAATAGATGACTTCTCTAAGATCAGCAAATTCCAAGGGGATTAAGTCGATGCAAATGAAAAAGAATGTGACTTAGAAAAAATATAGAGATGAGCTATGTGTTAGACATTGAAATAAAGCCTTATTTTTAAGTTGGGGATATAAGTATAATTCTATTTTTACATAATCTGTTGATGGAAAAGGATACACTACACTTCTGTGATTAACCCTTAAAGAGAGTTCAGATGGTAATAATTAGACTTTAAATATTATAAGCCATTAATCAAGGGAGGAAGTTTCTCTTGCCTTAAATTCCTATTACTAGTCAAATAGGATTAAGATATTTTTAAAACTCAGTGGTCATTTTTTTAAAAAAACTTTTTATTGAAAATTTACTCAATTAATGGCACATATTAGCCTCGGTCCATTCTGTATAAATTACATATACTCTTAGGTTGAAATAAATGTGTGAATAACTTCACATTTTTGAAGCAAATTACTGTAGTTTCATTTGCCCTGGTAGGTCAGCCTGTTGTGGGGGGAACCAGAGGAAAAGGAGATAGTTTTGTTTTTTTTTTGAGGGGGGGGCTTCCTGGAAATGCTTAATGGGATGGAGCAATATTATTCCCTGTGGCCTCCACATTTCCTATGCATAATAATTTCCTATGCATTTTTCTCCCGAAATGACATAATGGTAATTGATTTGTGGTGCTATTTTAAAGTGATTTTGAAATAAAAACTTTTAATGTCAGATTTCAAACCTGGTATATATGTATGCTATATTCCCTAATAGAACCAGTAGTATTTACTCCGTTTTTTGGTCTCGTTTTTATTCTCTTTTAATTGTAGTTTCATTTATAATCATTTATGCTTTCTATACCATATTGGGTACCATATAGATGGTAGACATTCAGAGCAGGGTGGCTGGCCCTCTCACACCTAAGTTTATCTCCTCGTAACATTTGTTAGGATTTTATAAATTGAGAAGTCATTTGTAATGCGAAAATCTCCTTGGGTTAAGTTAGACCCTAATCCATCACATATGACCCATCTTACTTGATAATAATAACTTTAGCTTGTTGAAGCTAAGTAATAGGGAATTAAGAAAATAGATGTCATCGTGAAAGTATAAAAGGAAGGCCATTGGATGGTTGAGGAAGGTCTACATTTTATGCTGCAGTCTCTGTAGACAGGGTCAGGTGCGGAATCGCCGTCGTGGGCTGTTGACAAGCAGGGGGAAGAGAATTATGACAGAGGGAGAAAGAAGATGTGAGGAGAACATATGAGGGATGCTAGACCCTGGAGACAAAGACTCGTCTAGGCTCAGCTCTCACTGCTCTCCCTGAAGTCCTATCTCTTGCTCTCAAGACCTCCTTCTTCTGCATCGCCTACCACACCAGCAAGGAGCCACAAAGCAGGAGTGGAGGCCACGGGCATGGTCAGGGCGCCTCCCCAAGGAAACACAGTCAAGTGTGCTGTGCACAGGGCTTACCATCCCCATTTCTGCTCTCCCACAGGTTTCCCGAACCCGATGAGTAACTCAAGTCACTCTGTCCTTCAGCCCTCGTTCCAAGGGTGCATGCAGCTCATTCACGTGGATGACCAGCTCGTAAATTTATACGAGGTGGCACAGAGGAGGCCGGGGAGCTTTGCAAACGTCAGCATCGACATGTGCGCCATCATAGACAGGTAAGCGGTCTTTTCATCCTCCTTCAGATGGTCCAGGCTTTCCAAGTTCATGTTTGTGTTGTGGGGCCCTCACCCTCTGAGAGGTTAGACGGGAGGAGCCGTCTGCCATATCTGTAGTCCTATATGTGTGATATTAGCAATGACACCTATATCAGGATATGAATACACACCATGGAACAATCTGTGCTGTCCCATTAGTCCAGCTACTTTCAACCTGCTTCATCTCAGAACACACTAAACTAAGCACTACAATTCTGCGGTGCACCGAAAAATGTATCTGTGGCCCACCTGACCAAAAATTAGGTGTAATTTTGATTCATTCACCCCAGATGGCTATTGTTGTGTTGGCTGTTGTCGTTTTCTTATTTGACAGTCTGAGGAAAGAGAAGTCAGTGCCCCAGATGAAATAGTGAGGAATTGTGTGCTTTAAAAATTCTCGCGGCTCAGCAGTTGAAAATCGCCGCTCTGGTCCATCAGCCTCCCGCAGTGGGTGTGAGCTTCACGCAGGTGGCTTTGCAAGCTTAACATCCGTGACAAAACTAACATCCCTTAATTTCGCCTCCTGGGCCCACAAGCAGAGGTGCCCCTTCTTTCCTCATCTCGGTCACAACTCATCCTTGTCATAATGTCCCCTCTGAAGTCCCCTCCTAACAAAAAGGGAACATTAAAAACTGTTGATGGGCAACATGGGTACTTACTGCAGCAGGATATTTAGTGTCATTGAGTCTGCTTACACTTGCTAACATATTGCAAACTCCAATCTCTACCTGTTTTTGCAAATCTGGAGAGGAGCTTTTTACAAAAACTGAGTTGACGCCAACTTCTGGCACAGTGGAAAGACACACTTTTATATGAAATATTGTTAACAACAGCACACACGCTATGATATCATACTTCTAAGAATACCGTTCATTCCAATGAGGAAGTGTTTTGTTTTTAGATGTTTTGCTCATGAACAAACTACAGCTAACCACAAGTCGAATTTAACTGGGTGAATTTAGGGGATTTTAAGAAACCAGTATCAAATCATTTATGAGAGGGCTATCTTATCCTGAAAAATAATTTCATTAATTTTATATTTTGAAAGATGAAAGTTCCGTAAGTCTCAATACGCCCCCAACAAAACATACACTGTAAGTCTCTAATAATGTTATTTCATTTACGGGGAAAGCCTTGGAGAAGTCATTTAAAAATATATAATTAATCTGAAAAACATGTAAAGTTACCTGTAATGAAATAAGTCTGTTCCATATAATCTTAATAAAATAGTATTCATATATGTGGTTATAGTTTATAACTATAACATTTAAAGTCTTAATATGTTTGTAATAAAACTTGGCATCTAAGAGTGCTTATTTCTATTACATATTTGTAAGTACTCATCCTGGTAGCTTAACCAGTTTATATTTAAACAGAACAATGAACAATTTTAATAGAAATATACTCCTCACTTTTGAACCGTCAGTAATGTAATAGCTGTTATTCCTGCCTGATATAAATGGTAGAGATAATCAGAAAAACTGAGAGATCAAAGTTTTACGATTATGTGTTCTGACATTAGATGTTTATCTGTAAATTTTGATAATTATTTTCCATACAGGAAGATTTTCCTCCTTAGTAAGAGTTACATAGCATATGGAGCTATTTTTAGTACCTTGTCCATTTTCCGTGCCAGTAGCTTTAATAATACAGTAATTTTTGTCAGTAATAACCAAGTCATTTCATTCAGCTTTTGTAAACAGGCTAGATTTTATGGCGATGTTGCCATTTCTCTTCAAACGGCATGTTTCCTGCGCTTTATATTTAAATTGTTTGCTACTAAAAAAAGTACAGCAGAGATATTGAAAATTTTAATGTCTTACTCCCGTGGAAAGAGTAGGAGCTGAATTGGCCCCTAAAGAATGAGGGAGATTTTGGTAAATGAAGATCGTGGAATACAGCCTCTGGTGCGGATTAGCTTAGGGAGTGCAAACTTCAGTTTTAGGCAGCTAGAGGAATATAATTTTCATTTTAACCGGAAAGGGTCAGTCCCATTGTTGACCAGTGTCCTGTAGCTGACAGAGCAGGGAATTCTTTCCCATCCTCCTGGGCAATAACCTTAAAGAGTAGCTTTGGGAAAGCAGTGACCTCTGACCCATCTCCACACATTCCCTAAAACTGGTCTGCGATCCATTTCCTCCAGTCTCGTCTTCTGGAAGCAATGACTTCTGTGCGCTAACTACCAGTGTGTGGAACTGCAGATTCCTTCATTTACCTAAAACGGCCCCGGATCAAAATCTTAACCGGAGAAGGGCTGCGTTTTTGTGAATAGGACACAAGACTATATTCACCTTACTCAGACTTTTGATATCACTGATGATTTCACCTGGGTCTGTCCAGGGGAGGGGCCGTTGGGGTTAGCCTGTCCTCGTATAGGGGTGACCCATTCGGTCACACTTTAATGGCGCATCCCTAACCCATGTCTTGTTTGATTCCCACCCGCCTCAGTAACTACAACTTTGCAACTGCCCACTCTGTGGCATTTTATTTTCTGACAGCCTCAATTCTCCCTAAGGAAGCCCATGGTGGCTCTTTCTTACTTCTCTCCTTTCACATCTCAGCTCAGTGATTTGAGAACTATTTTGGGGGGGAAAAGGATAAATGAGAACATGGGGTAAAAAAAGAAATGTTACCACAGGCGTGATTTTTAGAACACGTTTGGAGATAATGGAAGCAGCTGCAATGATTTGATGAGTAGAACTTAGGGAAATAGTTTGGGGAAGTTGATACCGAAGGTATTTTTCTCTGTGTCATTCTAGAATATCCTTTGATTTCAACTTATTTTTCTTTCTGTGTGTGGAGTGACGTGTGGCTTGTTTGTTTCACTGGTCTGTTTTCTGAACACGGCATTGGATCAAGGAAGGAGCAAGCGTGTCAAGCTATAGAAATATTCATTCAGCAGTATCTTCTGAGCGTATGCATGGTACAGGCACTGCTCTGGGCTCTTAGTATATAAATCATTGAACAAAATAGACAAAGATGCATGTTCTTTTGAAACCCATGTTCTGAAGGAAGGGGAGGAACATGCTAAGAATCAGTAAACAGTAGAAGAAATACCTGCCGTAGACAAAGAAAGGAGAGAAGTGAAGGAGGACTCACATTCCGGGAGACCGAGACATTGGGTTGCAGTTTAAATGGCTTCAACCTCGCTGAAAGGGTAATAATAGCTCAAGACAGGAAAGAGGTAACAGAACTGGCCAGCTTGTGGAAAGAGCATTCCAGGCAAAGGGAATGTCAAGGCCACGAGGCTGCACTAGGATCGGCAAGGGGCCAGGGTGGCCAGTCTAGAAGGACGAGGAGCAGAGTCGCAGGACAGGAGGCCAGAGCTGTCCCAGAGGCCAGGTCCTGGGGACCTGTAGTTACTGCAAGGCTGTGGCTTTTATTCTGATGGGACCGGGCGTCACTGTGGTGTCTTAAGCAGAGCTGGGGTACGCATTTCACAGAGGCAGCGGGCTGTGGGAGGATGAAGGGGAGCTGCAGGGAGCCCATCCCCGTAATCCGGGTGAGCACAGGAGGTGTGAGATGTGTGGATGGTTCTGAACATACACGTATATAAAAGGGAGAGTCCACGGCCTTTCTTGCTGGATTAGATCTGGGGCACAAGGGGGGAGAGGAAATGATTCGGTGAAAGCGACTGGTTGGAATGAGTCACGGTTTCCTCAGATGGGCAGGCTAGTGGTAAAAACTGGTCAAGGTTGAGGGGAAAACATGAATTTCAAGGTTGAGGGTGGGCATGAGGGGACATGTCTATTGCATATTTCAGTTGCAATGTCAAGAAGGCAACTGGATGTAAGCATAGAACAAGCAGACATCAGCCGACCATGCGCCCAGATGTGTGTCTGACCAAATTGCCACGTTCACCTGTGGAGGGCCTGGGTTTCTGCAGCCGCATTTCCTGAACAGCCACAGAACTGAGGGGGGTGAGTAGAGGAGGGTGCAGGAAGCCTCTGGCTTTCCCTTTCCCTGGTCCCCTGCCCTGAAAACAGTAAGAAGCAGCAGGTGACCATTTCTCCACCTTCCATCTGCTCTTGGCACCTGCCTGTTGCTGCCTCCTTGTGGCAAACATCTTGAGATGGCCCGGATAGCTCCTATTCTCCACCCCCTTCTCTCTAACCTCTTTTCAGGTGTGAAAATCTGAGACTAAAGTGAGGTTATTCACTTCCTCCTGCAGAGGAACCACAATAGAACCATGGGGCACTTCAAAGGGAGTGGGAGTTGGGGGGAGGGGAAGAGAGGGCGGGGAAGAGGAAGGGAGTAAGGGGGGGGGACTGGGGAGCTGGAGAGGGAGCGCCCTGGCAGGTGCTGGTTAGCAGCTGCAACCTGGGAGCCCAGCTGCAGCAGACGGTGCCACTTGGGAACCCACTCAGAGTCCCTATCAGGTGCAGTGGCCCGTGGTTCTTACCCGGGACATATGGGATGAGGAAGCTGCTGTTAAAGTTTAATTTTGAGTTTAAGTAGGTGCTGTTCTTGCCTCCTTTGGACAAATGTATCTGTTTTGTGAATAATAGTAAAGCCTGTTTTGCTAGCTGTGACTTCTTTATCCATCCTGAGACCATCCTCCTAGGTCTGCGGCCAGAGAGGTCTTGTTCCATCAGCACAGACAGGAGTAGCCTCGGGGTGCAGCTCTGGCTACTGAGATAAGCAGACGTCAGCTGTGCTGTTCTTGAGAAAGCTCGCATTGTCCTGATTCGGCAGCCTCCCCCTCTCCTCGCCTCCCTTGATCCGGTGCAGACGCCACGCCTGGGGTTGCACAGTCAGAAAACCGGAAGCTGAGCCCACTCTGGCAGTCTCCTTCACTCCTTTTTATGCGGAAAAAAGTAATCTGTGTTTATGCAGGTCACCGAGTCCAGTTTTACTTTTCTTGGAGCCAAAACCATGTTCCGTTTTTTTTTTTTTAAGATTTTGTTTATTTATTTTTAGACAGAGGGGAAGGGAGGGAGAAAGAGAGGGAAGGAGACATC